TGAAATCCCCCTGCTACGGCCACCTTTGGGACGCCTCACGCGACCCCTCCAGCTCTACTGAACAGGATAGGCCCATAAGACTTTACAACGCCCACAGCAAACAGACCACCCAAACAGCCGATCCTTTGGGACCCATTAAGCATAACCCACGCTGGCAAAGCCAAGGACAGCTGGATGGCCATCTGGGCCATGAGGGCAATTGGCTATTGAATCAGGATAACACAGGCACACATCAGCAGATAAAGCCTGCAGAGTTATTGACCACGCTCACACCATTAATAGCAGCCCCACCAGCATTTTTACGACAAACCTGCCTACCGTCGAATAGACCCCCTACACCCTGAAACAAGGAAGCTGCTGCGGCATAGGCTGTTCGGGGAAGGGCACGCACCACAAGGGAGCAGTGAAATGATTAACAAAATATAAAGCACAGAATCGAAGGACAAGAGGGAAGGTAGCTTTCTATCTATCTCTCCTCTCTCTTATATTTTCCTTCTTCCATCTGACTTATTTGCTTTTTGCCGGAGGTTCACTTGGGAGACTAACCCGTTCTCCTTTGACTTGCTTGCAGGTCATCTGGTGTCGAATACATCCGCTCTGGTCAGAACTTGAAGAGCTTGCGCCACAGCCCGACCCCATCCACCCAGGACGAAACTTGCAATTCATCATATATTTTTTAGTTATATGTTTAAGAGTTACTTAAATTTTTTTAAAATGATGACCATTTATTGATTAACCAACTGACTTAATTAATATTTCACTTTAACAACATTTAATGTTAAGTTATTAAAATTAGGTTATATGAAGACCACAACTTCTACAATTATTGTCTCATTTAAACCAAAAATAATGCACCCTACTCTTTGTATTTATCACATCTTCTTAAATTCCCAGGTGCAATGTCATATAATTTCAATGCTATGATTTTTCCACAATCTCATTAAAATGCTCATCCACATAAAAATAATTCAACAATTCAAACTTGATTAGGCTTAGTTAGCAAGACACCAACTACAACAAAACACTTAATACTATAATGGATGCACAAAACCCATCGACTTCATCAATTTTGCCAGGAAGAAAATTATTAATTAACGGAATCCAATCCTCTCAAAGTCCGAGTTTCTTGAGAAATCATTCCCTTTCTCTTCTTAACTCTTCCATAACGTCAATCATTTGCTATTAAAATTTCGGTTCTAAAAATATGACAGTAAAGTATACTGTTAGATTTGTTTTAGTAAAAATTTGACAGTAAATTTTTATTTTGGGTTGAATTTGTTTTTACTCATGCGCATAATAGAATTTTAACTCTGACAGAAAGTAAAATTTTGCTATTTTCAACACTGAACATTACTATAATTCTTAATTTGGATTCTTAGCCATTATTATTGACCATAACCAAAAAAATAAAAAAAATTAAAAAAACTTTGAATTTTTATTAATTTTTTCTTCAGACAAGAAGAGATTTTTTTAACAAACTCAAACCTCCTCTTTAAACTTAAATATTCAAGTAGAGTCAACTTAGACAGAAACGAGTCGATAATTTCAAACTTAGGCACTGAGTAATATTTTTCAAAGAATATTTATCTATCTTAAATAATGTATTAGACTTGTTTTAGTGTCTCCCTCTTCTATTTACTTTATTTATTTTTCTTTACACTTTTGCGTAGACAAGCAGCCATGATGGGCTACGGACCCACGACATCCACTGTAGGAGTGGTAAAACTGTCCTGCGGCCCGGGTGTGCGGCCTGAAGCGGGTACCGCCACAACCTCAAGGGCGGGCCACCAAATCTTTGGTCCAAGTAAGCCCAGGGGGCCAGCCCAGCCTGGGAACCTCTTAGCCTAAACCTGGGCCTGGGCCCATCATTATTGAGGAGCCATCATACGTCCTGGGCCTGAACCTTGCTGGGCCGCCTGGTGGCCCAACCCATCTCAGCCCGCTCTAAGGGCCCCAACTCGCTAAGTTTCAAACTGAACACTCCCGCCTAAGGCCTAGTTGTTATTTTGGACAGAAAATAAAAAAATTTTTGGGGGAAAAAAATTTAGAAAAAAAATGTATCAAGCCCTGGCCTAAGCTCGAGCCCGAGGAGCCCTAGGCCCAGGCCCAACTGGCCCGACCAAAGGCTCGTGAATACCCCGGGGCCTGGGGCTAGATTTTAATCTTGTGGCCTATTTTAGGTGTGGACGACCGAATTTATTGGCGGGAGCCTACTGAGGTGCTACGACATGGGTGCGCAACCTGACTGCCTGAGGGGGGGCTAGGGCTGCCAGTGGCCAAATTATGACATTACTGAGGTGGAGGCAAGAGACTGAAATTGGGTTCTATGCGGTAACATTATTGGGCAAAATTGTCTAAAATTTTAGGTACTTGTTGCTCATGTTCTTGAAGAATTAGGTATTTATTTCTCATGTCCCTTTATACAATGCAAAACATATATTTAGTGAGATTTTATACATAAAGAAGTTTTGTTTGTATTAGGAGTTTTAAAAAGAATTTAATTTGTTTTATAAATTCAAATCATTATTGAAAATCAAACCAAAACGCTACCTTAGTTTCCTTTTAATAATTAAAAAATTTTCTTGAGAGAGTTTTGACCAAATCTTTTCTAAAAATTTGTACTTCTCTGTGCTTCGAGAGAGGTTGAGAGAAAATCAACTTAACTGTAATCACTAAATTTATAGTGAAACCATTTTTGCCATTCTACCGCTTGTTAATGTAAGTTTATATCCAAATCTGTTTTAATCTTTTTCTTATCTTCAACATTGTTCATAACAAAGGTGGGCAAACTATGTATTGTTATTTTTCTAATCGATCAAGATTATTACAAATATTAAATCATTATATTAAATTGAACAATTAAAAGTTTAACACAAAACATCACAAGCCTAACAATGATCACAATTAAATAATCCCAAATTTGGGAAGAAATAAACGATTTATACACCTCTATAACAGGCCCAGTCTTAAGATTTCCAGGGCCTAAAAGCCGATAATCAATTCATAAAATTTACTGGGGTCTTCGCATTTTTTTTTTCCATTGAATGAAAAAAAAAAAAAAAATTAAGGTAAAGAACAAAAGATTTGTGTCAAACACCACAAAAAAATACTTAGCATTGTCATACAAACAACACTAATAAGTATCGCTTGATTCTCGCTTTTCTTACTATTTTAGAAGCAAATAATCAATTCATATTTTCATAATCTAGATTTTTTTTACAAAATTATTTTCAATGAATAACAATGTTAATTATTTAAATAGCCTTTCAAAAATTTTTTAATGGTGTACATTTATTTTAAATTAGTTTGGGCATTCCTTAATTTTGAGACTTAAAACATACCTAATATATTACACTAAATTATAATAGGAGGGGCCCTTTTTTGGGTCTATTGTCAATGGATAACAATGCTAATTTTTTTGAATGGGCCTTTCAATTTTTGAATGAGTCAATTTATTTTAAGCTAGTTTGGGCATTCTTTAATTTTTTTTTGAACTTAAAATATACTTAATATATTACACGAGCCTTTTTTTTAAATTTATTTTGAGGGGCCTAGGTCATGGCCTGGTGGGCCTATGCCTAAGGCCGGCCCTGCCTCTATAATAGAAAAAAAATAAAATAAATAAAAACTACATGAAACTTCTCTCCATAAACCTCATTTCACAAAGTAGTGCTACAAAACTATTAGGTCAAAAACCTTGTTAATTTGCCTTTTTTTACTTCCTATAGTTTCAATTATACCAATTTTACTATTGAATTTTTATTTTTTTATTTTTTTTTCTAAGTCCAATTGATAACATCCATTAATATATTAGACAAATATTATTGACAAAACAATTCATTTAAAAGGGAATGACTATTTGAAATTGGATGCTAATCTCCCAATTATTTTTAGGAGACTGAATGAACTATTTTACTCATTAATTTCATTTTAAATTTTTTAAAAAAAAACCTTAATAATTAGACTAAGTTGACACAATATAAAATTTTAAAGATAAAATTAATGCAATGAATACTACAAAGATCGAATTGAAAAAAAAAAAAAAAAAAAAAAAAAAAAAAAAAAATACGTACTTTTCCAAGAATTTAACAAAACCATTCACACAACAACTTGTGTACTGTGCTCATTATTATTTAATGATGTGAGTATTTTCCAGTAAAGTTTGAAGACAACTTTTGGGAGACCATAAAATTACACATTGTTGCCATCAATCCATGTTCACTGTTTTTCTTCTTCATAATTACGGTGTTAAAGCTTGGCTCTCAAGTTGACGAGTTTAGTCACATGGCTTGATTTGAGATGCATGTTAGGTTTACCCAAATTTTACAAATGCTTGCTATATATTACAAGGCATGTCAAGTGTGAGCACTTATTTATTAGATAAAAACAGGTAGTGTGCAAAAAGGGTTATTAAAGTTTTCACAATGTATAGAGGAAATATCATTTTACAATTTTACATCAATTCAACGCCTATTCTTTTAATAATAACAATTTTACACTTAAATTATTTAATTTTGAATCAATTTTACACTGCCGTTAGCAACCATTTATAGTCAAACAAAAATTGCAAACATGCCACTGAAATTTTATTTTATCCCCAAACTATATTTAAAATATCAATTAGAGTCCCAAACTTCATTTTATTCAGGAGTCAAATTGATATTTTTGAGATAGTTTAGGGAATAAAATGATATTGTCCAATGTATAATTCAATTCTATCACAATTTATTGTAAATTATTTTTTTCCATGGACCAAACTTTTCGATTTTATTCCTTTGAAACCCTGTTTTTTGCTCTAAAATAATTCAAATTAATCAGCTAATTACAACCACTTGTTTTGATAATATTCGTCTACAAAAAAAATGGACAACAAAGATAGTTGTAAAAATAGACAATTAAATTTTTTGGAACCAAATTATTGTGTTCTTAAAATTGTATTTATTAGTGGCATTTTTAAAGTTTTATTGCTAAAAACTTTTTTTGTTTTTTTAATTTTTCAGGACGACCTTTTAGCGATTATCCTTGCAATGACAGAAATTGGTTACTCAATTTTTTGCAACAAAATTTTCACTTTTGAGAACAAAAGTTTGGTCCTTAAAACTCTTATATGTTGTAGTGACACCAGAGAGAAGCACATCCCGAATTACAAATAATTTATAATTTGTCAAACTATATTCTATTTTACCAGCTTGTTGCTATCAATCCATGTTCATTGTTTTTATTCATAATTATAGCGCCAAAGCTTAACCCTCAAGTTGTGGCCAGTCACATGGCTTAATTTGAGTTGAATGTTATGTTTACCCAAATTTTACAAAGAGTAAAATGCATTCTATATATTGCAAAGCAAGTCAAGCGGTGTAGAATTGGTTTTATTAAAAAAAAGAAGTTAGAATTGGTATCATGCAGAATGAACCTGGAAAAAAAAATATATTACTATTATATATGTGAAGGTTAAAATTGGTGTTGATGTATCATTTTTTAGATTTTCTCAAAATATCCTTGTAGTAGTTATATGGATTTTAAGGCCTCGTTAAGTTTTTTTTAGTAATTTTTTTTGACTTTTTAGCTCAAAAATAATATAAAAAAACTAGTATATTTGGAATATTTTTTGGTTTTTTACAAAAAGATATGCAAAAAGTAGAAAGAAAAAATAATCTTTGACTTTTTGGTATAGATTGTTAGCTTTTTGATTTTTTTAGTGACTTTTTAACTTTTAAACTAAAAAGTATTGTTGCCAAACAGTGTTTCTTTTTCCCCTTTAAATCTCTCAATTTCTAATTTTTCAAAAGTCATTTGAAATTTTTAGATTTTGAATTCAATCATACAGTTTACAATCTTATTTTTCTGAAACAAAATAATCATATGTGCACTCATTGCGTGTGCCTTCACTTCTATTATACATATATACACTATTATATATGTGAATGTCAGAGTTGATGCTCACGTCTCATTTTTTACATTTTTTCAAAATACCCCTGTAGTAGTTATATGAAATTAAATTTTATTCAATCGTGAATCCCAATCATCCCCTCCTCGCTCTGGGATTGCTAATCTCCCTTTTGAGGAAATTTGTAGTCTCAAAGAACTCTTAGGCCTCATTTGGCAAGTGACTTTTTTAGTTAAAAAGATAAAAAGTTATTAAAAAAGTCAAAAAGTCAACAATCTATACAAAAAAATTAAAAATTCTCTTTTCTCTTTACTTTTTGTACATCTTTTCATAAAAAGTTAAAAAATCATCCCAAATATATTAATTTTTTTATATTGTATTTTAATCAAAAATCAAAAAACTATTAAAAAAACATATTCTCAAGCGAGGTTAGTCCCCTAAATTTTTAACAAAAAAACGAGCATGATTTATCTGAGGCCCATTGGATTAGCAACCAGTCTCCGTAAATATGGTATAAGTACACCTTGCTTTATTGGATATTTTTTGACTAATCTAGCGGGAGGCATCCCACTATTTGTTGAAATCCCAAATATTTTCAAGTACTTTATCCTTTTTGAAGTAGAAGAATAACATAATATTATCCTTTTTGAAGTAGAAGAATAACATAATATATATAAACCAAAAGAGAAGGAAGGAGGGAATGTCATGGTTCGAACCCATGACTTGGTGGGTAGGATTTGGATTACCCAACTAATATATATTAAACACTCCATATTTTATTTATAGATAAAAGTAATGACACATCTTCAAACTTGCATTATTTTGCAAGCTTAAACTATAACCATGCAAGCATAATGTAAGATATAGATAACGTAGCGGGTAAAAAGATTCAAACTATACCTTATATGATAGAATCTGAAACGAAGAATCTTGTGGGTAAATCACGTATTTCACAACCACAAACTAAGAACACCCAGTAATGGAGTGATACCACAGTATGAGTATCACATACTCTAATCATAGTGCAAAGGCTGTATCGTTATTCTAATGGGAGAGAGTTAGAGAGAGAGTATGGGAAAAATGTTATGGATAATTCATATATATAATCAGATATATAACAATATATGGATAGGATAGATGTAGATAGATAGAGGGTTATCCTAACAAATAGGATAATTAGGAAATCAAATTCAAATTACATAGATAATTTGAATGGGCCATAGGTCATGCCACATGCGTGCCCAAATCAGGGTCCAATACCCGGCCCAATTTCTAACATCTCCTATTCGCACATGAGTTGACATGACACTGCAACATCTCTATCTCAATCTCCCTAAAAATTGAATAATCCCATACTAGCCAATGAACCGTGCGACTGCTGAGAAACACCTACATGTGGGAACTCTATATTAGAAACTCAAAATGAGCCAGCATAGGGACATCAACCCAAAAAGAATAGAAATAGTGTCTCATATACCCCAAACCCATCTAATTACACTAGTCCAAAAAAAAACCATCTAATTACACCTGTAAAAAAAAAAAAAAACTCTAATCCCTCAAAAAGAGCATGTTTGACCCTCTCAATTCTTGCAATATATTCACACTCAATCTTCCTCTCATACAGAGCGATGTGAGTTACCGGCAGTGAATATACAACAATGGTGTAATACTAGATGATCTTCTTTTCGCCCCTATGCCATTTAGTTTGGGATTGACTCCTTTCTCAATGATGTCCCTTAAGGCCGAATCATACATGACCGCAGGCAACATACCAAAGTAGCAGAACATCAACCCCTTACTTTATGACATAGTCAAATGTCACAAAAGGGTACATAAGTAAGAGTCATATAAATAATGACATGTAAGACTCACACGGGGAGGAAATAGGGATCTATTCTTTCACCAAACAAGAGAAAAATGCTTTTTGTAAATTTTTAAAGTCTATTAAAGTTCCTGATGGTTATGCTGTGAATATTTCACAATGCATCGACTTAAAGCAATGTAGAATCTTTGGACTTAAAAGTCATGATTGCCATATTTTGATGCAGCAGTTACTCCCTTTAGCAATTCGAGGAATGTTCAGTTCACATGCGACTTCACCTTCGAGAGTTATGTTCTAAAATTGGTATGACACAAGACTTTATGTGTCTTGAAAGGCAAATTTCAATAACACTCCATAAAATTGAAAAAAAAAATATTTCTTCATAACTTTTTTTATGTTATGGTGCATTTGGTGGTTCACTTAGCATCTGAGGCTAGATTAACAAGACCTGTGCATTATCATTGGATGTATTCTATTGAGAGGTAAAATCTATATGAATTTACATATTTTTTTATCATCATTATGATATTTTAGTTTTGTTACTATTGAACATCATTCAAAATTTTGGTTTTTGAACTTATCAAAACATAGGTACTTGAGTAGATTAAAGTCATATGTGCGAAATAAAAGTCAACCAAAGGGTAGTATTGTGAAAGAATACCTTGCAAATGAATGTTTAACATTTTGCTCGAGGTATATGAAAGGTGTTGAGACAAGATTCAACCGAATGTCTCGAAATTATGATGAGGGGGTAATAGTATTAAAGAATTATCTATTTTCTCAATGGTTGGCCAGCCATTAGGTTAGGGCATGATAGACACAATGGATGATGGTAAAAAAGAAAAGGCACATCGATATGTGCTATTTAATTGTGAGACAATCAACCAATTTATTAAGACACTCCATATCTTTCATGTTTTTATTTATTTATTTATTTATTTATATTTTTTACATAGGTTACATACTTTTCCACAAACTTACAAATATTTTATAAGGCATACATACATCACCGTAGCCTTGTTGCCATACAAAATCCACATCTTCGTGAAATGGCCATTGATCTCATTCGTAGTGAAACATTTCCAACATGGTTTGATAAACATGTAAATAGTGTTTTGAAATTCCTTAAAATTTGACTTGATGTTAACTTTAAATTTCATTTCACACTTATAGAAGTTATGTCGTCAATTGTCTGAAAACACGTTGAGGAATTACATAATGTAGGGGATAGTCAAGTAACTGAAGAGTTAGATGTTTGGCTTTTGGTCCAAATAGAATTTTCACAAAATATAAGAAATACTTGATAAATGGTTTTAGGTTCCATACTAAGGAGATCGAGCGAAAGAGAAAAACTCAAAATAGTGGGATCATTGACATGACAAAAACACGAAGCTTTACAAGTGGTAGAGATAGAAATCCTATATCTGGAGATGTTACATTTTATGGTGTGTTAACAGATATAATTGAGCTAGATTATTTGTTTCGGAAGAGATTGTGTTATTTAAAGATGAATGGGTGTCACAAGCAGGGAAAAAACAAGATAAAGATTGCACACTAGTTAACTCTGCACGATTAATAAAAGATGTTGAGTTTTTTGTGTTGGCTTCTCAAGCAGAACTGGTAATGTATGTTGAAGACTTCAAACACAAAGATTGGCAAGTTGCTGTCAAGACAAATCTGAGAAATTTTTATGATATGAATGTAGGGTGTTCTGTGGATAATGTGTAGGCATACTTGCAGAGTGTTGTATGCAATACACAAAGTGGTGATAGGGATAATAATTTTAATTTGGTTAGGACAAACATGTCTGCTGCAATTGTAGATGCACCACTTTATCAGGTATTGAGAGACAATAATGTCGATGATGATGGAAATGAGGAGGAGTTAGATCTTCTTATGTGACCATTAAACTTGTTGAACTTTGCCAATTATTTACGTTTTGAAAACAATTCTGTAGTTTCTTTTCTTTCTCTAAGTCTATCCTAGTCTTTGTTAATTTGATAAATAATTGATTCTTTGAAAAACGAATAATGCATTTTAAATTTAATCATGTCATTTTCATATGTGGCTACAAAATGTGTTTACATTTATTCACTATCAATTACATTTAGTCACTATAAGATTGCAATGCAATAAAGGTGAATACATAATTTTTCTTTATTAGTTTTCTTCAAGCACTTTGTTCATTTGCAAATAATTTATTAGAATCATTATAAGTTTGCAATTTGATTTGTCCATTTTGCTTGAATCATACTAGGATTCATCAATAAAGCAAAAAGCCTATGGACCCATATATTCAGTTTTACTCAAGCAACATCGGTGAGCCAATGGACCCATCTGAGATTCAGCCAAACTCAAGTCAACTCAATAATAATACAAGTATGCAAGTTCAAACCTAATAAAAATGTCATACTATTTTTTCATATATACTTTATTATTATTATTATTTTATTATTTTTATAACTAGATGGTGCTAGTGGACAAAAGAAAACTAGAGACCCACTCAAATGTATAATATTTGGGGTACTTGTGATGATGAGCGCCTAGCAGTTAATTGGAGCAAACTCGACCAACTTGATAACAAATTAGCAACAAAGTTATCATCGTTCATTGACACTATTATGCATGATGGAAAAAATGCACCACTCACCTACAAGAATTGGCATAAAGTCCCAAAACATTACAAAGATCGCATATGGGCACTTGTACAGGTAAATGACACAATATTGTGCAAAGATCACATGTGAAAAATAGTAAACATGGGTAATATGATTAAAACAACACTCTTTATAAGGGTTTTTTTTTTTTTTTTTTTTAAAGTAGAAAGATTAATTTTCTATTATTTTATTAGTTTGTCTGTCTGTTTGTCTATCTCTCTTTCTCTCTCTTTTCAGTCAAAGTTTGATCTTCTAAGTCATACTAGGACTTGGGTTATGAAGTGTTCTGATAAGAAGTTAACTGGAACGCAACCGTAAGGAAAAATTATTATAAAGACCACTGAGTTTTGACCAACAAAAACATTATAAAGATAGTAGAGTATATGTTGATTAGTGGGAACACCTTTTTAAGTATTGGGCCATCCAAGAAGTAAAGGTATATATGATTTGATCATTATATGTTCTTTTACTTACAATAGTTTAGGCACCACTAATTTATGAATTTGTAATTTTAGGCACAAAGTGATAAAAAAAAAAAAACAAAGCAAGTCGTGTAGAGCGAAAGTATAATCATATTACTGGAACAAAAAATTTTCTGCATGTTTGAAAGGAGCAGGTTAATTAAACTTTTTATGTTGTATATTTAATATGATAATGCATGCATGACGTGACAAATAATATAATTTATCATTTGGAATATATTATTTTCTAGAAGAATAAGTTAGGACACTCTCCAACACACACTCACATGTTTAAAGTATGTTATATAAAAAAGAATGGAACCCCTGAGGTAACCAGAGATTACAAAGATCGCATATGGGCACTTGTACAGGTAAATGACACAATATTGTGCAAAGATCACATGTGAAAAATAGTAAACATGGGTAATATAATTAAAACAACACTCTTTATGAGGGTTTTTTTTTTTTTTTAAAAGTAGAAAGATTAATTTTCTATTATTTTATTAGTTTGTCTGTCTGTTTGTCTGTCTCTCTTTCTCTCTCTTTTCAGTCAAAGTTTGATCTTCCAAGTCATACTAGGACTTGGGTTATGAAGTGTTCTGATAAGAAGTTAACCGGAAGGCAACCGTAAGGAAAAATTATTATAAAGACCACTTGAGTTTTGACCAACAAAAACATTATAAAGATAGTAGAGTATATATTGATTAGTGGGAACACCTTTTTAAGTATTGAGCCATCTAAGAAGTAAAGGTATATATGATCTGATCATTATATGTTCTTTTACTTACAATAGTTTAGGCACCACTAATTTATGAATTTGTAATTTTAGGCACAAAGTGATAAAAAAAAAAAAAGCAAGTTGTGTAGAGCGAAAGTATAATCATATTACTGGAACAAAAAATTTTCTGCATGTTTGAAAGGAGCAGGTTAATTAAACTTTTTATGTTGTATATTTAATATGATAATGCATGCATGACGTGACAAATAATATAATTTATCATTTGGAATATATTATTTTCTAGAAGAATAAGTTAGGACACTCTCCAACACACACTCACATGTTTAAAGTATGTTATATAAAAAAGAATGGAACCCCTGAGGTAACCAGAGTAATAATAGTATGTATTAAATAATTATCTCTACATTTGAACTTGTAGATTAGTTAAAATTCCCACATTATAGTGTTGCGTGATTGAAATGTACATATGAAGTCATGTTTATTGCAACCTTATAGGAGGAAATGAATATGAGTACAACTTTAAATGCAAATTTATCAAATGAGGGCACAACCCCAAATGATATATTTGGACAAGTGATAGGTAAAGAAAGATATGGACGAGTTTATATGTATGGATTAGGTGTCTTCTCGTCTAATTTATGTAGAGATATATCAGGTCATAAAACAAATCAAGACATAACAATGGATGCTACGAAAGATGAAAATTCGAAGTTAAGGTCTGAAGTTTCCTGTGTCCAGCATGCTCCGAATAAACTAGGTAAATTTTTTAAAGAATTTATAAGTTATCATTGTTTTCATACACACATATATACATGTATCTATGTGTGTGTGTAAAAATAATTAATTCAAATTTGGTTAGGTCACAACATCTTCTAGTCCTCTTGACATGATATCTCGACATCAAGTATGGTTCTCGTCATCGATACAATATGCCTTCCTTACTCAGGTATCCACTAAGAGCTAATAATATTTATGACATTATTTCCAACTTTGTTTTAGAATAGCATGCAAAACTTGTCTTCGAATTGTAGAATGATAAGAAAGTGTTAGCAGTAAGTTTTAGATTAATGCTTTGTTCAACCCTATTAGGGGCAGCTAAAACAATTGTAATCAAGTTGCAAATTTGTTTACGAAGACTTTTGTATAAATAGGGTCCAAGTAAAATAGAAAAAGGAACAAATTGTAATTAGTTGTCTTTAAGGAAGTGTAATTTTAGAAAGTTTCTTCTTGTTTTTATTTCGGTTTGTGAGAAATTGTGTGAGCTCTTCTTTCTTGGTAAAGGCTTGTAACAATCATAAATACATACATTTTGAACTTATAAAGGTACATTAATGCCATTTAACCTTGGCATTTTCATTTCTAACCTATAGAAAGAAGTCAAAAGTAGCGAAGGAGATCCTGATGTTGCTAATGGGTATGATTTTGATTGTTGTTGATTGGTGCCTTTGGTTGTTGCTGATTTTTTAAGCCATTGTTTGATATGGTCTAACGACTTACGGTTGTTGCTTTCATATAGTTTGTTGTAGTGTGGTGGACCAATTAAGTGATTAAATCATGGTAAATTGATTCACAAATTATTTTTATTTCCTTACACTAAAATATATATGTGTGTATCCAAAATATATAAAAGTAGACAAGTAGCATGTGGTTTGCTTATTTACTAGAGAAATGTATATCACTTTCAGCTGTGATCATCTTTACTCTGACACTTTATACTAGGCTTTTTTTTTTGAAATATTATTTATTTATTGTAAATACATAGTTACTTAAGTAGTTAAATCTTGATTTACAGACTGGAGATATAGTTTTTCTAAAATGTATCATTAGGCCAACAAAAACAGTTACAATTAGAGTACTTAAAAACATGACCCACCTAAAGAAGTAAGAGGGGACGAACTAAGACTTGACTATTGGGAGGTATATGTTCAAGTGCCAGTCAAACCTAATGAGAGCTTGATTCGAACATATGGATTTGTCAAAACAATTGGACAAACTATTGGAGTTCATGTTGTTTGGCCTGCTCCATTTGTGGTATATTTCTTTTCGTAAATACTGATTTCATTAACAAGTTTATATTAACTTAATAAAGTTTATATTACTTTTATATGTTTATCTTTTGGATGCAAATTTCACAAGTTATGGATGCTAGTCGAGAATACTTATACACATGAGGTTGAAAATTTGGAGACTGAATTTGTTTTAGTAATTTGTTTCTGTGGAAGATGGATATGACCATGGTTTTTGAGAACTTATGGTTGAAATAAATATTTTTTTCTTTGACTTTGTTAGTGTGGTAGAATGTTTTACAATTTTGATTATGATTTTTATTGCAATATAAATAAATTTATATCTTTAGATCAAAAACTAATTGTGGTTTGAATTTTCTTTGTTTTTGATGTGATGATCCTATGGTGGTAATATTTATTTATTATTATGGAAATATTAAATGATGACTGGATGTCAAATTAATATAGGATGTGACAATTAATATTTAATTTTTTTTTATAAAATCAAGAACAATTTTTACAGGCATTTACGCATGCTTAGTTGTGGCTTTTAAAAATATCGTTAAAAAGAACATATAAGTGGCATTTCATGGTAGTGGTAGTAGCTTTGTAAAATGTCACTAGAATAAGCTCTAATAGCACTTATATCCATTTATGGCACAAATGAATTGGATTTAGTGGCATTTATAAAGGTGTAAAAAATATTAATTGTGGGATAATAAGTGCCATTAAAAAAGCATATAGTAGCATTTTTTAGATTTTAAGTCTTCTTTAATGGCATTTGGTAGCATCACGAATAGTGTCTAACCATGACATCAAAGTGTCATTCAAAGTCTTTAGCCTTGATGGTGTAATGACACTTACAAGTGTCACTGAACTGTCACTAAGTCTTTTTTTAATGGCACTTGATAGTGTCACGAATAATGTCTATTAGGACATCAAAGTGTCATTGAAAGTCTTTAGCCATAGTTGTGTAATGGTACTTGCAAGTGTCACTGTGGTGACACTAGGATCTACCGTGGTGTGGGTATAAATATAC